ACATAGCAATTTAATTTAAACCAAATCGTATCAATAATCACATTAAATATAAATAGGCTAACTGAGTACTACAATTAAAAGGCAGAGATCTTCAGGTTGGATTTAAGAAGCTAGATCCAACTCTATGCTGCCTATAAGACATGCACTTGAATTCTAAAGACATAATAGGTCAAAAATAAAATAATGGAAAAGGATTTAAGATCTAACATTAGCTTTTTAAAAATCTGGAGTGGCTATATTTACCACTCTCATGCAGAGTAAATTTTAGGGCCAAGAATATTACCAGGGATAAAGGAGATCATTACATGATGATAACAGCTCAATTCCTCAAGAAGACATAATAATCTTAGATGTTTATGTATCTAATAACAGCAAACAGAACTTCAAAATACAGAGGGTGCCAAAAAAATGTATACAAGTGGACACTTCGGTCAATGTTGCTCAAGCATAGTTTGCTGTAATCAGAAGTGTCTGGACACTGATGGTAACCACTTTGAGCACCTCTTGTAATTGCAGAAATCAAACGTGACTTGTATTCATCTTTTGTTATTGGTATATATTGAACATTACAATTTTAATAAAGTTTTCCTTTCTTAAAACGTGTCTACATTTTTTAGCACCCTCTGTATATAAGCAAAATTGGGCAGAACTAGAAAGAGAAACAAACAAATCCAGAGCTATAGTCAGAGGTTTTAATGCCTCTCTATCAGCAATTGATAGACAATCAATAAGGATTTAGAAGATTTTATCAACAAACTAGATCTAATTGACATTTATAGAAAATAAGTCAATAAGGGAGATAAAGGGAATCCTAAAAATATTTACGAGTAGTTAGTCCAGTCTAATTAGCCTAATTTGAGGGTAACCACTAATACGAGTGGTATCTTGGAGACTTATGGGGACTTTTTGAAGAACAAAAAGTCTAGAGTAGTGGCACAGTTAAGAAAGGGGAAGAGAATTTTAAAAAGTATGGCTGAGACTTATAAACTGTGTCCCCTTTAAGATTTGTTAAAACATAAAAAAATCAGAATTGCTGTGAATTACTCCTGGTTGGTGGACTGTGGTTCATTGAATTTCAGTTTCAGTCCACAGTTAAGGTTGAACTGAAACAATTCTAGACTTGGCTCTGAGGCTTACTCTGACTTGGGCACCTCTTTTCACCACTCTGAGCCTCAATTTCCTTATTTGTTAAGTGGGGATTCATTCATTCATTTACTCATTTATGCATTAAATGATTTATTGGACTTTTACTATGTGTCAGGCCCTATAATAGCTACCTTGAACAAAGGAGACAAATGTCCTCGCTGACAAGGAACTCATAGTCTAATAAGAAACACAGACAACAATTTAATAAACAAAGAAATATATGATATGTGAGATGATAAGTGCTCTGGTAAAAATAAAGCAGAGTAAGAAAGAGAGGAGGGACACAGGTGGGCCAGGAAAGGCATTCTTATAAGTGCAGAGACATGCAGAAATCAAGGTGAGCCATGTGGACATCTGGGTGGGGGAGAAGGAGCATTGAAGCAGAGGAAACAGTAGGGACAAGGGCCCTGAGGTGGAGGCGCACTTAGGTCTTTGGGAAGAGCAAGGAAGCAATGTGTCTGGAGCAGTGATCAAGGTCAGATAGGGAATGAAGTCCTCATCAGATAGGGTCTCGTAGCCATGGTAACAACATTGGCTTTTATTCTGAATGAGATGGGGAATCCTTGGATGTTTCCTAGCATTTCAGTGGCAGGATCTGACTTGTGTTTTACGAAAGAATTACTCTGGCTTTGGGGTGGGAAGTCATCTACAGGGAGCCAAGGACAGTACGGGGACTGCTTACGAGGCTTGAATTTGAATGGTGTGGAATGCTGTGGAAATAGTGATGAGAGGTTGAACTCCGGATTTGTCTTGGAGGTACAGTGAAGAGACTTTGATGATGGATGAGATGAGGGGTGAGAGAGAAAGAGAAATGTCAAAGATGTCTCCAAGGATCTAAGTCTGCTCAACTGGGTAAAGGAAGAGGCTATTTATTAAGATGGGAGGATAATAATACCTAATCCTTGTGAGGCTGTTTTAGGGATAAAATGAGATAATGTATATGAGTGCACTTCCTGAACTTAAAACATCATATGGATGTAGAAAATGAAAAATTGGAAAGCCACCGAGGAGTTGCTAATTCTCAAATATGTCAAATAATAATGTCTTAAGGCCAAAAAGCAGTATTGATTTTCTCACTGATATTTTTTTATTCAGTAAAGAAAGTTATTTTGAATGACTCAGTGGCTTATTTAAGAAACCACAGTCCACCAAAGGAATAATTCTGAGTTTCCTTTTATGTTTTAATAAACATTAAAGTGGACACAATTTATAACCTTAGCCATGCTTTTTAAAATTCCTTTCTCTCTCCAATACTCTAAGCTGCGACACTGCTCTGATATTTCTATCCCCTTTCCCCACACAATGGGGCTCAATGAAGCTCTTTTAAGTTTAAATAAAAAAACAACAACAATGTAGTCCATAAACATTGTAGTCTATTTTCCCTGAATCACCCCTGTGCAACTAAGGCCCTGTGATTTAGGCCATACTGGGTCTGACGGTATTATATTAAGGCATCTGTTTCTCAGTCTTCAGAACTGTTCTAGGCCCTCCAGGTATACCCTGGCAGGGGTAATTTTTAAATGGCAGCCTAGTGATATGAAATAGCTATGGAACCTGTCAGAAGGGAGCTACACATTTCTTCTGTCATCTGTAGGGTTAAGGTAGTCTGAAACATGTAAATAATTTTACAAATAAATCAACAGAAAACTTACTGAAGCCACATCAGTTAGTTCAATTTCCAACACAGTAAATTAAGAGAATGTGGGAATTTGTCCAGTGGAAAAAATAATGCCTATGTCAAGAGTGTGTGTCAAGAGGGGCTTCAATGAGGGTATGTATTTGTAAAACTGGTCTAGGGCTGGCCGAGTGGCTCAGTTCGTTAAGAGTTCACTTAAGAGCACGAGCTCTGAGCAACAGGGCAGTCGGTTCGATTCCCACATGGGCCAGTGACACTGCGCCCAAGTTGAGCTGCCAACAGGTGGCAGGATGGCTCAGCTGGTGAGAGCACATGCTCCTAACAACAAGACTGCCTGTGCAATGGTGAGCTATGCCTGCCCACAACTAAGACTGAACTCGACACCTTGAGCTGAGCTGCTGCCGGGATGGCTCAGTGGATAGAGAGTGCGCTCTTAACAACAAGGCTGCTGGTTCAACTCTCACATGGGATGCTGGCTACGTCCACCCGCAACTAAGATTGAACACAGCACCTTGAGCTTAGAGGCCACGAGCTGCCAACGGGCAGCCAGATGGTGACAGGCGCCCTCCACAACTAATACTGAAGAACAACAACTTGGCTGGTCCCCTTTTCCAATTCCTCAACACTGTTTCCCTGCCCCAAATCCCCAGTTAAAACAAACAAACAAACAAACAAACAAACAAACAAACAAACAAACAAAAACTGGTCTAGTGCTTCCAAGGACCCTAGAATGTGGGTTGAGCTACTGATCCTCTTAAGGAAGTTTTTTAAAAAGCAGTTTTGAGAATAGATACATTCATTCATATTTTTGTTTTATCTCTTTGGTCTGCCCTACCTTCTTTACTTCTCTCTCCCTGTCTCCTTCTGACCCATCCTCATGCTCTGGTTCCTTTAGCAAATATTTACTGAGAATTTATGAGCCAGTGTTTTGCTAAAGATGCAGAATCTTTTCAACTGTGCTGTAGGAACTAGGAACGTAACAGAATTCTCCAACCCTTTGTCTTGCAGCCAGGATGTTTACATTGAAGGGGAGGAGATATGAGGGAGAATGCCCACTTGACATTTTTGGATGATACGCCAGCAGTATGATATAAAGGAGGAAAAGCTGACCTCGGAAACATGTCATGAACGTTTTCATGAGATGCTAATTTAATGGCAGAGAATCTGGCTGTGCCTCATCCTGGACAGCTGAAAAAAGACTGCATGTGTAGCAGGGGACTGGTTCCCCCCCACACCCTTCGCATGGCCCCAGAGCAGAAGAGATTTGCCACAATCCCACCTCAACCTCTGCATTTAAATAATCTGGCCTCAAGACAATGCCATGCAAATTTGTCAAACCGAAGCCAGAGCTCAGTGCTGGGTCTCCAGTCCATTGGTTTGATCTGTACAATAAAACTATATTTTACCTATTCTTTTTATTGTAACTTGAAATTACTTAATTGGCCATTCCTCTTAAATCTTAAGAAACTGAAGTCGATCATACATTTTCTATTTTTGGGTCATTTCTTTAAATGCTCCAGAACAAACGAAAACTGATTCAATGTGAATGGTTTGTTTGAAGGTTGCCTATGGCAACTGCTCACATCTCCCGCATGTGATTGTTAATGAAGGTGCAACTGAGTGATTTATAGTCGGAAAGATCTGGATGTCTTTGAGAAGATAGTGAAGCCAACAAAACCTCCTAAACCAGAATCACCCAGCACGTCTGGGAGGTTTTTGAATTGTACTAGAAATCCTCAGATTCAACCTACTGCCGGTCAAAAATTGTCCCAAAAAATGTTCCGTTGTTGCTGACGTGAACTATGTAGTTAGACCAATGATGCTTGTGTCTGTACTGAACATGTACAGACTTTTTTCTTGTCATTATTCCCTCAACAATACAGTACAACTATTTACATAGAATTTCCATTGTATTAGGAATTATAAGTAATCTGGAGATGATTTAAAGTATATGGGAGGATGGGCCTAGGCTATGTGCAAATACTGCACCATATTATATAAGGGACTTGAGCATCCATGGATTTTGGTATCTGAACCAATTCTCTGCAGATACTGAAGGATGGCTGTAAATATCAAAGTCAAGTATTTTAACAACCTCTCATGAATCCTTTATATTTCCTTCCATGTGTTTCTCTGAAGATCAATTCTTCTTTTTTAAAATATTTTAAGAAAAAATGGAGGTGTGCCCAAATTTGCCACTCAGGGAAGAAACACTTACCCAGAATGCTTCATGTTTTGAGGCTTATCCATTCGGACAGCAAGTTTGATTTTGAGGTCTTGATCGGGACAGTTTTTGGATACTGCCATTTTGTGCCATTCTGACTGTTTGGGGCTGTTTGGGGTGGGATGGAGAATAACCTGTTGGGAAAAAGAGCAACCATCTTAGCCAGAAAACAGAAACACTGTTATGGGCATGTTTTTATAGATGAGAAACTTTCCTGCTGAGAAGTTGAGTGTCATCCAGGTCTCAGCCAGAGAGAAGGCAGTTATATAAAATGGAGGCCTGGCCATCGGACTCAAATCCAAGGTTCTACCTACCCACCGTGGGGGTCTTCTGCCGAGTAGCCTGGCCTGAGGACAGAAACAGCGCTGTCCTGCTCTCCCCTCTCTCCCTGGTTAACTCTGTGAAAGTAAGGATCATGATTTCTGTGATCCTGATTTTATATTTTTCCCAAGTCCAAAGTACTAAAGCAATCCAGAATAGAGAATGTTCTCCACTCATTATTCTCTTCATGTAAGAAGGTGGGCATATGCAAAAGGGGGGGGGGAAGAAAGAGAATAAAGAAAAAAAGAAAAAGATGGACGTATGAAAGGAAGAAACACCTTTATATGTTAGAGAGTGCACTTCTAGTCCACTCTTTCTATTCTTTGGGATTCCTTCCATTATTTCAAGAGGAGAAATCCCTTAGAGGCTACAAGGGCAGATGGAAGGGACCTTATTTGATGGATAAGAAACGTGACATTTAGAGAAGAGAAGGGGTTTGATGACAGTCACACATTTCAACCCGATTTCACCTGTACTTTTCATCGTATCATGCTACACCCAACTCTGTCCTGGCCCGGAAGGAAGCACACACAGCTTGAAGGAGGAATAGCTCTTAGAGCGTGACCTTCCCCTGCGTGCTTCAGAGATGGTGCTCTGATTTGGGACTTCGGCCTCTGCTCACATTGTCTCAGATGCTGTGAGTGGAGCAAGAAGGGGATAACTCAGCAAATCCACTTCTGTATTTCAGATAGAAGAGTTCTCAGGAGCCATGGGATCTGGGGAACGTGCACTCAGGGAGGAGTGAAGTGTCTGGAAGACCCCCTGAACCAAGGGAACGAACTAAATACAGGCGCAACAAAAGCTGTGCTTGCTCAGGTTTGCTTCTGCGATGGCAGTGTGCCCTGGCTTGTGGCATGTTGCTTTGGCTCTGTTTTCAAAGTATCTATTTTCTCCAGGTGCAGGGAAGGCCAGCTCTTTTCCTGTGCTCCTTTCACCCCTGGAGAAGGGTGTGGACACGGCCTTCCAGAGGCTGTGTTGGCGCCACGGCCATCACACAAGCTTGGCCTGTGCTTGGAGGGCAGAAGAGTATGGCTTTCTGGGTGGCTGCGGATCAAGGACTCTGAGAAGAGTCAGAGACCGTGGCAGAAAAGCAAAATCAGCCCACTTTCACAGGCCTTGCTTGTGCTGATTTTTCACTCCTTCTGACTCCAAGCCTGAACTTTTCTTTTTTTCACTAAATTCCCTCTCTCTGATAAAAGAAAATTTATATACTTTTGCTAAAGACAAAATTAGAGTCTTCTTAATAGCTTATGACATGATCAAAATACAAGGCCTGATATTTCAGACCAGATACTGCCAAAGTTGTTTTGATTATGCCCTATATAAGTAAAATATTTTTGAGCAATTAGCACACTATCTATAACTATATCACTATCAATATAAAAATTTATCAATATAAATACAGGCAAACCTTGGAGATATTAGGGATTCAGTTCCTGACCACCACAATAAAGCAAATACTGCAATAAAACAAGTCATACAGAACTTCTGGTTTCCCGGTATATATAAAAGTTATGTTTATACTATACTGTGGTCTATTAAGGATGTAATAGCATTAGGTCTAATGTATGTACATACCCTAATTAAAAAACCTTTTATTGCTAAAAAATGTTAACCATCATCTGAGCTTATTAGAAAAATGGCACCAATAGACTCGCTTGACGCAGCATTGCCACAAATCTTAAATTTGTATAAAATGAAAGATCTCGAAGTGCCATAACACCATGTATGCCTATATATAAATATCATTAAAAAATATATATCCATATATAGTACATTATATATGTTTACTTTGTATTAATATATTACATTATGACATGTATCATAAAACGTGCACAAACATAGAAGTCTTAAAAGGTGGGCTAAAGACAAAAAGCTATATTTTTAAATATCTTGCAAATTGTGGTAGCTATATTATTCTATTATTAGCTATATTTTAAGGTACCGTATATTTAGGACAAGAGTAATTGTTAACGATACTAGATGTAAATCAGTAGTTCGAAGAGTCTTGTAAATAATTTTATAAAGTCTTCACTGACACCTGATTCTATCTGATGACGCTGGCATTGTTTTTGTCTCATGATGTGGATGACAGAGCTCTTGCTAGCAGGATTGGTGTCAGTTCCACCATTTTCGTGTAGGTTGTCAGGCTTGCAATACTAGTGTTATCTTCAAATCATAGCTTTTCTGTAGTAATCTTTTTAAAGCCACTTGTTCATTTTGTGAGCATTAATTTAGTAAAAATTATATCACAAAATGTATAAATTCACTTAATTGGTGCTAGCAAACTGCGATATGCTGTAGGACGCGGGAAGTAAATGAGTAAGTCGGGGTGCCATTAGGTGGTGGAGACCTCTCCCTTCCCTCAAGAGAACTCTTGTCCCTATAGGTCCCCCCATGTCATGCTCCATATCCGGAGACCCCAGCCTCTGGCAGATGGAGAAGGGAGGCTGCTGATCCCAGTGACACCAACCGTCTCTCCTGAGCTGGTCTGGCCTGAGAGGTGAGGTGGAGGTGACATGCTGGGAAACGAGCAAGAGGAGAGGCTGATAGGAGAACTCCCAGCCAGGGCAGGAACAGCAGCACGCCGGGCCCTGGCCTCCTGCTCCTGCCCATTTGGCAAAATAAGTGGGAGCAGCGCTCAGGGCACCCGGAGCTTAACAGGCCTTCTACCATATGGGCTCTGGGCGTGTTTCCCACTGGCAATATGGTGTCCGTTTGCCAATGCAAGTGGCCTCCGCTTATTACTGGCCTCTCTACAAAGACTTGTTCCCCCACGTGGTGGCTCCCTGGGGAGGCCTCCTCTCCAGGGTGAATGGAAAGATGAGGTTACCGCAGTTCCACTCCATCTTCATCCCCACCTTGCCATGAGCCTGATGGGTCGATGACTCCTTTTGCATGTGTCTGCCTTGCTGAATTATTAGGGTCCTTCTGGGTGCACATAAGCCCCGAGCAGCCCAGACACCTCATCTGGACATTCCAGGCTGCTAATCAAGCACTTTGTCATCTCAGCCGAGCCCCATGTGTGCTGTGCTTTGATGTGGCGGTGCTGATGTGGGAACACAACCCACCCCACGCGGTAAGCTGCACGCCAGCCAGCCTTCGCATCTCTCAGTTACCTGGACACGCAGGCAGGTCCTCCTGGGGGGCTGTTTTACCCTGAGCCTTTCCCCTCCAAGACTTAGCCTATAGATGGCTCCCTACCTCTGCATGCCCCCTGGGAGGGCATCCTCCCCCACATTCCCAGACTGGATTATGTCCCCTTGCTCTGTGTTCCCCAGGAGTCCTTTCTCTAGCAGAGCACTTACCACACTGCACTAAAACTTCTCATTTTTATGTCCATATCCTTTAAGTTTTTTCAGATTAGGATTTTTTGCCTGTCGTTATTCCTGTTTGCTCTGTGCATAGCACAAATGATAGGACACAGTGGGCTCACAATCACATTCAATGCATAAAAATGTGATAATATTGCAGTGGGAGTATAAATTGGTGTATACTCTTTAGAAATAATTTGGCAATATCTATCAAAATTCAAATTTCATTCAGCAAAATGTTTTTTGAAATTTATTTTAGATATATACACACACACATATATATATATATATATACACATATATGTTCAAAGGAATAAATTTATAGTTATTTACTTAAGCATGGTTTATATAGCCAAAGACTGGAAAAAATCCAAATAAATTATGATGCATCCACATAATGGAATATTATGCAGCTATGAAAACAGAAGGGAAGTCAATACCGGCTGATATGGAATAATCTCCAAATATTTCAAGCAAAGTGCAGAGCAGTATGTATACAGTAACTTCCAATTGTGCTCTCTTCCTTTTATTTTAAAGAGGGATATATACACATATGCTTGTATATGCTATGCTTGTATATGCATAGAATATTTGGGGAAGAATGCACAATAAATTGAAAACAAGGTTTAGCTCTGGAAAATAGTACTAGGGTGAAGTGGGAGGGGTCATTAGTGTCACTATATATCCAATTTTAATTTTTTTACAGCGTACATGAATTATTTTTTTAATTAAAAATGGTAATAAAAATGAAACATAATAAAATGTAACAAATTAAATATTGTTGAATGAATAAATATTGTTGAATGAATAAATGGAATTTCTCAAGTGGCTGTGTCCTGCTAAGCTTGGGGAGAATTATGGTGTAGAAAAACACTCCTGAGGAGTCCAAAGAATGGCTTCACTTTTAATTTAAAAGACCGCGTAGTGACCACCTAGCTGCTGCCTACGGAGGTGCTGCCAGCAGAGGGCGCCCCAACTGGCACAAGGGCCAGGCAGGCCAGCTACACAGTTAACGGGTGGAAGGTTTCTTTGGCAGGAAGGAAGTGCAAACTGGTATCTGGGGAAATAATATAATGGAGCTGGAGGAGAGAATGATTTATTAAGAAATGAATGGCTGTGTGGCGGCTGTGGCAAGCTTGTTGCTTTCATCACAACAGCAGAACCGAGGGTTTTATTTTTACATAGGACAATGTTGTATAGTAAAAATGGCCCTGGAGATGAGGCATCATTCCTGCTAAATTACTTACCTCCTCTGCACCCAGTGTGCTCATCTGGACACGAGGAGTCATAACTGTAGCTGTCTCGTTAGGGTTATGGTGAAGGCTTAATGAGGGGCTGCACAGAAAGTCCTTAGGACAGTGGCCTGGCCAATGGTGAATGTATAACAGTGTGTAGGCGTTCACTAACTGGGTGGCTCTGGGAAAGTTCCCATTCCTCAGGAATCAGTTTTCTCATCTATAAAATGAAAGGGTTTGACTAGCCCTGTGGTTTTAACTTCTCTGAGTGGGAACAGCTTTGAGAAGCCGGTGAATGCTTTGAACTAGCAAAATGCACATGTCCAGAAAAATGCACATGTCCATCCCCCCATTTGCAAACAATTTCAAGGGGCTCCTGGATCCCATGAGCCTCCATGGACTGAAGTTGAGCGTTCCTGGACTTCTCTCTTCTAACATTAATATCCTAGGTCTCTGAGACCCACGATTCTTGACAAGATCCTGCACAGAATAAGAAGTGTGAAGAAAAAGAAAAGGCAGGCTACTTCCCAACTCTCTGTGTGCCTCTTTCCCTAGAGGCAGAAATGAATAGTTGTCATTTCTCAAATAAAGCAGCCAAACCTCTTCTTTTCTTTCATCCCCGGTTAATATGTTTTTGCTGGTGTGTGCGTGTGTGTGTGTGTGTGTGTGTGTGTGTGTGTGTGTGCTTGTCTTGGAGTATTCTCTTATTATTCTCTAGATCAGGGGTCGGCAAACTTTTGAGAAGGAAGAGCCACCAGGGGTCGACAAACTGCGGCTCGCGAGCCACATGCAGCTCTTTGGGTACGTACATGTGGCTCTGAAGTAAAACTGAAAATGAAAACAAAACTATCATAGTTTCATTTATAATATTACTTTAAATTTTCCTTATTTGTAAAAATATAATTATGGCTCTCGAATAATTTTTGAATCGTTGTGAGGCACAGGATTGGCTCTTCCAGGGGTCGGCAAACTTTTGAGATGGAAGGTGCCCAAAGAGCCGCATGTGGCTCGCGAGCTGCAGTTTGCTGAGCCCTGGTCTAGATGAAACTTCAGAGGCCCAGAGAGGTTAAACATCTTGGTTAAAGTTACACAGTGTTCGGAAGAAATTATGCATTCAACCAGCATGAAATGAAATTTATTGAGAGTCTATGTGCTGGGCTCTGGGTATAGGGTGGCAAACAATAGTTTAGGTTTCTCTCCCCATGGAACTTTACAGTCTGGTGGGGAAGACAGAGGCCAAAATTTCTGTAAATTCTTCCTGTTTCTCTCATTGATGATAAGTTCTGTGGAGGAGGTGAAGGCGGTGAGGGGGTGGAGGGGCGTGGAGGGGAGGGGTGTTGCTGAGGTAGCAAATGAAGGAGGATGAAGAGTCAGCAAAAGCTCTCGGAGGAGGGTGCATTTATAAAAAGAAGGAGGGAGCCTTTGGAAGAGTTGGGAGGTGGGGAGAGTGCTCCAGGCAGAGAGAAAGCCCCCTGAGGGAGAAAAGAATTTGGTTTACTTGAGGGACTGAAACTCAGCTAAGATGCTGCAGCCTGTGGGTGAGTAAATGGGCTGAGGAGGTGGGCAGAAGCCAGACCACCGAGTCTCTGTAGGTTGAGCTGCAGAGTTCAGGCTTTATTATAAGCAGTGTGAGGTGAGGGAAGCATTTCCAGCTAGTCAGGGAAAAGGCCAGCTTATATGCTGAAAACACTACTGGCTGTTTGGTGCAGCATCAGCAGCTGAGACACAGGAAGGAATGTCTTTATTATCTCAGTGGTACTCAGAGGGATTGGTACCACCCCCTCAAGATGTTTCAAAACTTGGGGGGAGGACTTTTTTGGCTAAAAAAATGGTGCTATTTGTTGGTGTTAATGGGCGGGGCCCAGGGGTGCTAAACATCCTACAAGGAGTGAGCTCATCCTCTCCAAAGAGGAATTGTCCTGCATCCCAAGTGACTTTTGAATATTCCCACAGGATATGAATGTAGGCAGAAAAACCTGTTTATAATGAACTGAGTCTAGATCCTAAATCTTTTTTAAATGCACACTCAAAGTATCCTTGGAACTTTTCTAGGAAAATCAAGGGAATTTTGTTACCAAGACTTGTTTACTGATTCAAGCAGTCAGTTTGCTGATACTCAGGCTTTTGAGTCGCCAACCTCAAGTGGGTTTTGTAGCTGTCATGTTCACAGCGATTCTCCATCTGTAGACAGCATACACCCCTCCTTTAGTTTAGGTCTTCTAGTGCAGTTGTGCCTGAATGTTTATATTTTGAAGTTATCTTATCATGAATTTATTTTCTTTTATTACTCCTTTATAGTATGTCATGTTGATTTTGAAATTGTTAGGTGGGGTGGTTTGTTAAATCATCTAAGAATTTCACTGCAGGATAGTAAAGGGTATGGCAACTCTTGGCTCTAATGTGTGTTTGGTTTGCTGGTTTGAGGACCCCTGCTCTATGTTCTGTAGTGCACACTGTTGGTAACCCAGATTTGAAGAAGGGAAGCTGAGGCTTGGAGAGGTTGAGGGACTTACTTGCCCAGGGTTGCACAGTCAATGTAGAGTGGAGCCTGGGATTCAAATCACAAAGCCAGGTCTTTCGGCTCTTGGTGTCTGGGACACCCACTCTCTGGAGCCCCTTGTGATGGATACCCTTTGTGACAGGGAGCACTTACCCGTCCCAACTCCTTGTCCTCCAAGGCCAGGACGCCTGTGCTTTCTGTGAACAGCTTCACCTTCACAGCAGGCAGTGCATGGGTCGTCGAGAAGTCACCCTGGGTGCCCCAGCTGTGGACAGAATCAGAAAGGTCAGTGTGGAGATCTCTGCCTTCACAATGCTAAACTCAGCTGCCTTCTTGCAAGTTGGGTGAATGCAGGGTTAACCCGAGGCAGCGTTGGCTGACACATCCTTCTCTCCCCTGCAAAGCTGCCAGAGTGACAAAAAGTGTTAATTAACTTGCTAGGCAAATGTAAGACAGATGCTCAGAAAGTTGCCACTGGGTCTTCACAGAGCACTAGGAAGGAATCATGTGGGCTCTAGCATGAAATCAAGTTGGCAAGAATTCTGCCCATGCAATTGCTATATCCATGAACTATTCCCACTTAAACATTACTATTTCCTTGCATCCTTGGAATCCTTAGCTTTTGGAAGCTGCAGTTCTAGATTTTGAGATGGAGTGTCATTTGGTTCAAGCCAACACCTGACTTTAAAGTGAGACTTCAGTAGTTGTGGGGATGCAGGGAGCCCCATTTCCGTTGGCATTAAAAGACGAGTTAAATAGAAGGATGGATGGAGCTTGGCCTTGTCGTGAAAGGTAGAAAGAGTGATATGGTAGATGTCCTTACCCACTCATGGTCTTTGGGAATCTGAGTCTTAGATTGCCCCAGAGGAAAGCCTAGCTTACCTAGCATCTGGGTAGAGTGGCAGGTTGGGCTGCCATGAGCCCCTGATGGGCCCCTCAGATGTGGCCTCTTCATTCACTCATCATTATCCTTATAAGGCCATCTCTATCCACTCTGTGGCTGAAATCAGTGTGATCTTCTGGAAGTGTCAAGCGGATAGCATTGAGCCTCTGCCCTAAATGCTCCCACGGCACCTGCTCCTCTACTGTACTGAGGATGTAACCTAGACCCCCTGGCATGGCCTCCCATTCATTTGCTCCAGTGTCACTGGCCTCCTGATTGTGCCACTGCTAGACTTTTGCATGCATGGTTCTAGTTCCCTCTGTTGGCAGTGCTTCTTTCTACCCTCCTTCTCACTTGGCTACTTCTTATGGGCTTCGCTTAAACACCACATTCCCAGAGAGCCTGGTTCTTCATCTCCCAGTGTAAATTTTGTTCCAATGTTAAACTCTTTTAACATATTGATTTTCTGTCTTAGCAATCATTGAGTTTTTTTTAAATTGATCTGTATGAGTGTTTAATAGGTGAATCCCCTATTATCCTGTAAGCTTCATGATCATAGAGGCTGTTAGGTTTATATCGCATACCTAGTATTTAGCGCAATGCTTGGCAGATAGAAGACACAATAACTATTTAGTGAATAAACAAATGATGCCATATCTCTATCTATCTATCATCTATCTATCTATCTCTATCTATCTATCTATCTACCTATCTATCTATCATCTACCTATACACTTTTACAAAACTAGGAAACAGGAATAGATATAATTTTGCTGCTCATCAGTGGATACTTTCAAGGCTTGGGACATCTATTTCTAAAATGATTTCTGTAAAGATGGGGACTGTCCTCCCACCACCTGGGAATGAGAGTGCAAATCACAGGGCTTCTTGTCCACATTGGGTGTCCCTTGTCACTTTTTCTTCTGGCCTATTTTGTCATTGTCATTTTCATGGGCAATTCTTTGACTATAGCAGGCTTAAATATTTTACTCTGTTCATTGGCTGTTGTATTTCTTTTCTTTTTCTTTTTGGTAAATGATGGAAATCTGACTTCTACTTTCACCGTGACACTCAAATAAACTTAAAGACATGAGGATCTAGAGAGAGTTGACAAGGGAGCATCAGAACAATGGAGGTTTAGGTCCATGGGGATACGTGTGTGTGAGAATCATGAGGAAGTACAACAGTCACAATGGAGAAAGGGAGAGGACGCGGAGGAGGACCTGAGACAGAAGGAGAAGCTACAGGTTTCAAACACAACGGCAAAATGTTAGATGTATAGCTAGACGTTCCTAATTTTGGTCATTGACAATTGCAGCAAGCCTCTAAGATGGGGGACTCTTTGTCCTAGCAAAGGCGACGTGACACGGCACAGGGTTTGACCAGATATGCTTAGTTCAAATGCTGGTTAGTCTGTTACAAACTGTAGGATTTGAGGCAAGTTAATGAATATCCCTGCATTTCAGTTTGCTCAGCAATAAAATAACCTCATTTCACAGAGCAAATAGTAGCAGGCTTGGAACAAGGTGAGAACCCAACAGATTTTGGTTACTTTCCCTTCCCAAATAAGGATATTTGACATGTAGCCTAGTAACAGTGATGATCACTCATGTTTGGTGTTATCTAGTCAACACATATCTATCAAGCACCTACTAAGTCTGACCCTGTACTAGCCAAGGAAGATAGACATTGCCCTTCCTACTACACAAGGCAAGAAGTAAAACAGTTACTGTCACCCCCATTTCACAGATGTGAAAACTGAAAAGAAACTCAAGATCTTGCTTATTTTATTCCAGTGAATTGTGACCAAGTTGGGCTAGAACCCAAATCTCTTAATTCCTGCTTTACAGCTCTCACTTCTATTGTTATGATTTCAATAACAAGCACTATTAATGATTGGCAGAGAACATGAGCATTAATTTGTTATTTATGATTAATTGTGCTATGAATATCTTTGGGCATTTATCATGCCTGCTCATGGAGATGAGGAGGATTTCTGTTGGAAACCAAGAGTTCGGGAATGAGGAGCTTTAACACTATGACACAAACAGGCCTTGTCCCACGGCCCTGGGTGTCACCCCACACCGTATCCCCATGATACTGTCCTTGGATGTGGTTTGTAGCGATTCTGTGGCCTGCTCAGCAGGCACTAACCCAGTCTGCCTGAACCTCTGCTGCTACCCAGAGATGCTCAGCTTATAGGGCATTCAATATGACTCAGACTGTGGGCCAGGGCGAGACCTCCAAGACCCTGTCAGCTGGCTGAAATTCAAGCTGCTGGAGGCCGCCCTGACAATCCCGGTACATTTGGATACTGAGCTGCTTTTCCTTTCTACCAGGCCTGCAGCTGTGCTTTTGGCTTCCTACCATGACCCTTGGCTCATCTCACAGTGTTAGGTCACTACTGAATCCCAATTTATACATCAGATTTTAAAATGGTCACCTGGCCCGGGAGAGCAGGCAAAAGGAGAACGTCTCCAGTCTAATCAGGCTGTGTTATTTTCAGGGCCCAGTGCAAAATGAAAATGTGGGGCTCCTTGTTCAAAAAGCACGACAAAAGTACCATTCAAGTTTCCAAAATATAAAGCATTTTTCTCTCTCTAAGTATTTCCTCTGCTCAGATGCCTGCTCCATTGTTCCATCAGGCTTCATTTACAGACACAAGTTCAAAGATAAAATTATTAAGAATTTCAAGATGGCAACAGCAGAGCATTACACCCCTCATCGTCCTGTCTGAACGTGGGACGTGTGCAGCTGCATGGATTAACCACAGCCCATGAATCAGGCTCTGAGTCCAATGCCACCCCGGTCTGTGTAGCCGGGACTGAGGATGGACCATGCAGCAGAGGTTGGTTGGCTGCCACTGGTGTTGACATGAAATCTTTGCCCCTCGCTACAGTCACGGGACTCTGTGAAAACCAATCCTGGCTTCTTTTTGTCAACGTTTTCTACCCTCAGGAGTCCCAAGGAGGTTTACTTATTAGCACTGTTCCTTGCTCACCTCCCCTTTTGGGAAAAAAAGGCATGAAAATGTACACTCTGTCTTTTTCTGGCCACGGAGAGAGCTATATTCATAATACAAACAGCTAATATTTATTCAATGATTACTATGTGCAAGGCACAAATTCCTATAAAAAATGTTACACAGTCATACATGCATTTTATTTTTTTAAGCCATTTTGACTACCCTGTGAAATGGTTACAATTATATCCCCATAGTTACAGATGAGAAAACTGAGGCTCAGAGAGGTTGATAATGTATTCAGGGTCACAGGCAGGGAGCAAATGGCAGTTTGACTCCACACCCAAACTCTTACCCATGCTGCCATGTTGCCTCCCTCACACATTCCAGCAACTCAGTCCTCTGTGCCTTGATCCAGTTAACATCAGTTACGTTTGTAACTCAAAGGGAGAATTCTGGTTCAAGACTGATGGGACTCTGGGATACTCTGGCTTCTCAGTTTGGATTTAGTTCACATGTTCAATATACTTCACAGAGTGCGACATACTCTACAGACAAATTAGTCAGTAGAGGAAGCATGGAAATCCTTGGCCTTTTGGTAGGTCCACAGATCGATTAGTGAATCTATTTCTCATTGTTGCATTCTCCTCTGCTCATTTCTTTTCCTTTGCTGTGCATTGACTGTGGCTATTAAGGTGAACATCTCTTCTTGAGTTTCCTAGAACTGAAATAAAATTACGCTTTGAAGAGGTTGACTAATTTCTCTCTGAACACAAACAAAGTAGGTAAAGTTCAAAGGGTGAGGTGTCCCTCTCCTGTGATCTCATCTTATCTACCACTGTACTCACACTGTATGGCTAGCTCACAAAAATGCTAAAAATAGCCACCAATTATTAAGTGCTTATGATTTGCCAGGACCTGGACCGAGTGCTTTTCATGGATTTTCTCATTTCATCCTTCTGACAGCTAGATGAGATAGAATTCTGTCATTATCCCCACTTCGTAGACGGAGGAACTAGGACGAGGAGAGGTTAAGTCACTGGACCAGGGTTTCAGGCTATCACAGAGCTGGATGTCAAACTCACAGTTTCTGAGCCCAAAGCCCATGCATTAAACTGCAGTGCTTTAGTGCCTCCCAGTAACTCATGACAGCGTAGTTTGACAGTTATCTGAATGTGTTTCTGGCTCTCTTTGGATGATGGACACCTCAGGGGCAGGAAACATAGCAGGACTTTTTTTTTAAGGTTTCTTTAAAATTTAATTTAATTTTTTAAGATTTTTATTGGGGAATTAGGGAAGGGGAACAGCCAAATTGTTGTCCTTCAATCTTAGTTGTGAAGGGTGCAGCTAGCTCAGCTCCAAGTCCAATAGCCGTCTGGCCGGGCAGCTCGCGGCCGCTCAGCTCAAGGTGCCGTGTTCAATCTTAGTTGTGGGTGGGTGTAGCCCACCATCCCGTACGGGAGTCGAACT